GATCTATTTAGTTCTTTATACTAATCAATCATTTATAATTTATATACTTTCTTTATTTTGTTGTTATTGTTGTTTGTTAGTTTCATTTCTTATCGTTTATTGAATAAATCTAATTGTTGAAAGATTTTGACCTGTGGATTTCAATCCTTAACCGCACACCACACGAATCCCACAATCTATATTCGCGAAATCGAGTCGTTTAGAGGTAAAACCGCTCTTTACCTTTTAGCGCTTGTAACTAACTAAACTTAGGTTCTAGGGACGTTACACATTTGCATCCAAGCGTGTCATCATTTTCTTACATGATGAAAAATAAATTTTGTCGTGAACCCGAAGGGTGGCAATTTTCCAAATTAAATAGAGTTTTCTTTAAAAAACATTCTCTTTATTGATTTTTGAAGCGAAGTCGACTGGTTGAAGTGCGAACTAATTCTGATCGTCGCTGAGGGTGAGAGCTCGAAGGAAAAATTTAAACAGGAAGAAAACTGTGTAGGGTGAGGGGGTGCTGGGATTTAGGTTGGTTACTGTGAGGGTGGTGGAAGTGTAAAACAAAAGGAGAAAGTTTGGGACTTAGGAAGGAGGTAATTTATGGTAGGGAGGACCCTGAGATCGAAAGGTTGCCTGGTTTATGTTACGATGAGGGAAAGTTTGGAAAAAGACTGGATCATATATATGTAGATGTTTTATTTTTAAGGACGAAGTGTGTTGGAATGTGTTAAAGTTTTGTAGAAATATCTGACAATTTAAAGAATGAAACTTGAAGTTTTAAGCTAAAGTCTAATTATAACTAGCATATTCATTATAATTGGCAAGATCGTTGAATACAAATATGCATGATATTTTATCTTTCTCCATTCATTTTAAGATCGTAGCAATAAATAGTTATGTCTGATGCATTTACCGAACAAATCGTAGTTCAAGGGCTTAATGTTCGGTACTGTTACTTTAATTTAATTGAACATAATGATTTTAAATTAATTTAAAATAATTAGAAATCTATTTAACGCAAATTTTTTTCGAAACAATTATTACAAATAACGTATAAAGAAATGATGAACTATTTATTACAAGAAAATAACGCAATGCAACGCTGGGGTCCCGATTTTGTTGCAGTTATCGAGTGGAGGTGTCGATTCTTTGTTTACATTTGGCTCGCGCCGAACGCTAAACGTAGGAGAGAACAGAGAGCGAACGAGAGAGGTTATTTAAAACTAAATTTTTAGTAAAGTCCGACGAGTAATGCTCTTTTGGTTCCATACAAAATCGCACCTCAATACACTCCGAAAAGCAAACAATATTACTACATAAACAAATGTTGTTCATATTATGCCGTGTTTGGTTTTATTTTGATCAGGAGAATCTCGCAATTACATTGGTAAAAGGAATATTTAGCAAAACCAAAAAATAAAAAAGTTTTACTGTTGCATTAGTGTTGTCACATCGATTCGTCGCGTCGCGTCGGTTCGGATTACATTGCATACGTTGCTCTCTCGTCAAGTGTCAAGATTCAAGGAAGAACCCCCTAAGTGGTGGGGATAGTAATGTTGCAGTTCTGCAGTCCATCGTTTGTCGTAGTTATCCAGTCTTTACTGTATAACGTATCGCTGAAATCATCCTCAGTTTCTCTTGGTATGAGTATTTAAATTAGCTGTATGTATAATACCATCTATTTCTACAAATAGTTTCTTTGTCAGTGCGTCACCCCTTGTTATATCCACTCTTTGACGAAGCGTTTTTCTGTTTAGTGGTTAGCCATCGTTGTGAAGAAGATACATAATACGCATTACAACGTATTTGAAAGAAAGCGGCAATAAGAAAGTAAGCCAAGTAGTCACTTATCTCTTTATTTATAACTATCATATCGTGAGGACGTAAATTTAAGTCCGATCTTTACGACATCTCAAATCGTCAGCTTGTCTCAGAAATAATTTAAGTGTGAATGAAAACAATAATGACGCGAAGAGGATACAGCACATGTTCGAAAGTGTTATATTTGTGATGGATAAATTTCTTTTGACTTTCATGCAGAACAATTTAATCGTGTTAAATTCATAAAAAAGAGTGAATGATTTATTACAAAAAATACAGGAATACTTGAGAAAAATTTATGATTACTCGATCAGTTATACGGAAAATAATATATTTGTTTCTAATTAATTTTGTATCGTTGTATTAGAAATTTTACTTAATTTTTTTTTTATTATTCATTTTTTATTAATATGAAGCGTTACGGCATATAATTACTAATGATTACTAATTTTATTAACGCTGCGTTATTTTGACGCATTTATACGTCCATTTTTTCTTGCGTTTTAAATACAGGTTTTGAGTTTCCATTGATTCATATAAGAAAAATACAAAAATAGCTGAATATGTAATAAGTGCTATCTTACAAAAATATTTAATAAATACGACTTCAGGTTAACGCATATATCATTAATATTTTTATCTTGATAAAGGTTATATTACTTTCTTAATATCATTTCCATCAGACTCAATCAAAGTTTTATTTCGAGATTGAACGATTAACTCCAACCACAGTGATAAATATATTCTTAAAAGTTTCTTGGAAATCAAAAGAGATCAGAATTATGATATTGGTAACACAGGTTAAGATTATTGAAATAGAATTTGGCTCACTTATTTTGTACAATTTGTATAATCACATAATTATCTTCATTATACTTTGCTTCGTCTTAAAGTCTGATAAAATTCGTCTTCCCTTTTAGGTGCAAAAAAAAACTATGATGGGGAATAAATATACCGTAATAACAATGCAGTAATTATAACCTAATAACGTAACATAAAATTACAATACCAGTATAATATTGCTTTCTGTTGGATGATATATGCCAATATAAAGCTTCATGGCACCATATTAATTACGTATACGGCTATCAACATTTATCTAGATTTGGTAATACTTTAATTCAATTATATAATAAACTGGTTAAAACGTTCAGTGACACGTGTACCATCGGTGGCACACTCAAACATATTTATTTAATGCACTGAAAATATATGTTTATAACAAATTTAATTCTGTAACAAAATATTATTACTAAAAGATTGAGGCATTGCACAAAATGCAGTATAGAACAAAGCACATAAGTTTGTTTAATTGTTATATTTGCAACAATTTATAACTACATGTGATGGTTGATTTTGATTTTTCATTCATTAGTCGAAATATGAAATAACCTGAACGATAAATCAGATATGAAGAGCTTGGCAGCGAACGTGTTAATGATGCGTTCAATGATAACGATAAGATTTCTTATGTCAAGTGAATAAAAGCCCATATGAATAACAAATATGTTCACGGTATTTGTTCAATTTCAGATTATCACGCAACTAATTATAAGTGAATATTTCGTTGACAGATACCGTTATCTCAGTTGTAATGCCTACTCATCACTCATTAAGCGATAAAACACTGTACATAGAAAATACAAACATAAAGTCATTCTTCGAGCAATCATAATTAGAATTCTATTTACAAACTTCATAAAAATGAAACTCATGAAGTAAAAAAGAAAACAAAAGAAAGTCTGTTACTTTCTGAATAAAATATGCGAAAGGTTAAGGGCATAATAAGCTCCTTTCTCTGCTATCATTGAACTTTGAACTCTCGCGAGTACGATAGATATGGATGAGTAATTACATGTAACTTTGTCAAGTACTTACTTAGAGATCTATTTTTAAAAATCAAATTTAAAAATCTTTAATTACGGTAAATGTCCCGAGTCCACACAAATATTTTGTTAATAACAAAGTCTTAATGCTTAAATTAAAAATGCATGACCTCTACACACACATAATTATAAGTTAGTACAACTCAATATTTCTGCTACGCAGAAAAATTATTACACAAAACTTGAAGATTCAACGCGAACTCGTTTCATTAATAATTAACCAAGCGAGAGAGAGCGTTTGTTACAGTTCCAATTGATTACTGTTACATGATTTTTCAAATAGTAGTGTTGTAGCAGACTTATTAAATAACAGTGAATCTAAATTATTCTTACTTCTTGTTAATTTTGTTCAAATATTGAAATTATGTACTGTATTCTACAAATATGTGATACATAACACTATTTACATAAGAATGGACATAAACGCGGTTTCGCGAAATTCAATTATTAAACGAATCAACCTTATTAAATTAATTGTATTATAAATATTTATTGAGTTGAAGTAGGTTCTATACTGTATGCATTTATGTTAATAATAACTATACAGAAATACAATTCTGTTTGTTCTTTAACTTGACATAATATCAACATAACCTTCAATTTTCTAGTATGCTTTTAATCACTTCCTTTGTATTATACCAGAATTTTTTAGAATATCGAAGAAAAAGAAAAAGCAAAAAGATTGCTTGCAAAAGGATAATTGTGGAAAAATAAGAAGATTTAAAACAGACTCGTGCAAGTTGTCAGTGAAAAATCACATGTGTCAAAATCAATTCAGCAGATGATATCCGTTGTAATTGGTCAAATGAATTCGTTAGAAATAAAATATTTCCATTACACAAAGTATTGCGATGTTAATTCTTTTATTAAATGGTAAAAATAAAAAAATCAACACATATTTAATATGTGAAACAATAATAAAAAACCACTACAACCACGAATATTACTTAATTACAGGGATACAAGATTTTAATTAGTATAATTAGTTTATTTGATTAATTCAGCTTTTTCACTTTTTCTTTCATACATGTAAATTCTTATTATTTTATCTGAAAAGTAGAAATTTTATCTTTTCCCATACATGTATTTAATTACAATTTTACGTTGTATAACGAAAAATACAAATACTTGCTTTTTAGTCGTTCGATTTCTGCGACATTTGCTTTAGCTTTGGAAAAATTTGCCAAATTTAAATAGACTAACTAGTATAAAATATATTAACACCTTTAAACAATATTGCATACTAAATTGAGAATCATATATGTAGGATCGGAAATAATCGAGGTTGACGGATTACTAGTTTTTTTCGGGACTAATAATAACAGAATAATAATTTTAATAATTTAACAAGAGTATAATAATCAACAAAATATAAGAATCAAATACGGACACTCATACAACTTTTCGGACGACTTCCTACTTTCAACGTTACAACGAGACTGACCCCGACGTTACGCGGTTTTCCGCGTTCTCCCTGGGTTCCCGCGTAAAAGAAAACAAATGCAGTCTAATTCTTCGTTCCCTCACTAATTTTCGCGCCAACATGCAATACCGCCGAATTATCTTGGCGCCAATCGTCCACGTTTCCCGCTCACCCGTTCGCGCCCGATCGTATTCGACGAACACCGAATAAACCAATCCCACATATATTTTTAAAGTCGATTAATGGTACTGAATATCTAAATTAATGATTGGTATATTGATACACAGTAAAACGAATTCAGTCAACATCGAAAAACTCATTTAAAGCAATAAAATAGAGATCCTATACTCTCCTTACTAAAAATATCAAAATTATGAGTAATTAGTTTACAAGCATGTTAGTGTCAATGCATTTTGGAGAATCGTTGGAGTCAATCAGCTGTCGCTATTTTGTCTTTGAACGATTTATAAATGGGTACGATGTTCATTATGAATCTGGCCACGTAGTGGGGAAGGCGATGATGCTGAAAGAGTGAATGAAGTTCGGTATAGTTGTTATGAATCGGGCCTATAAGAAAAGAATGATGCCAATGGTGTGATGTTGACGTTTACGTGCAGGAAGTCGTAAATGGTTCGATCATTGATAAAAATGAGACAGTTCCAGACATCCGACGCCTTCTTGTAAGAGAACCAAAACTAACCATTTGATGCTTACGTCAGAACCTCGTTATTATTTAGTAATAATAATTAACAAGCAAATCTTCACAGAAATTCCTACCCTTTCAGAAGGTAGATTTCTTAATCAGTAACTAAATGTATTTTCTTCTTTTGTAGCATTACAACCGCGAAGATGACACTCACGACAACAGTAATAATTCTTTCATCGCTAATCGCGTATGGTGCAGCATATATCGAGTATTCAGCAATCTGTAACAACGAGACCTTCACAATGAGGATTTCCGGTAACATACTGACACGAAAATTCATTACATCTGGCAGTATTAGATGCATAAACATTACATCTGGCAATATCAGATATATGGAAAACGGTGCATTTGACGGAGTGCCAAATTTGACTTATTTGAATCTTGAAGGGAATTACATTTCCCTTTCTAATTTATTCTCTTTCGGCAGCATTGCGAACCTCAAAGCATTGATTCTCAGTAATCAGAGAGAAAATTATTACGATTTAGTAGTGCCAATAAACTTGACATATCCAGAGCTTCGATACTTGAATTTAAGGAACAATGAGATCATCAGCATAACGAACTACGATGAGAATTCTTTTCCAAAGTTAAAACATCTGGATATTTCATACAACAGATTCTCATCGTTTACGTTCACAGGAACATGGGCGAACACACTTAAGTATTTACAACTTGATAATAATGAAATTTCCGACATCTCCCTCAGTACATTGAAGAATCTAGAGACGCTGGCAATGAATAATAACAACATTCGAAATATAGCATATGATTTTCATCGGGAAAATAATCTTGACCTTACGGGTCTGAACAATCTGAAACATCTTTCTGTAGCGAACAATAGTATTACCTGGATTGACAAACTAGTATTTAATGAGACGGTTAAACTTCGATATCTGGACCTCTCCTATAATCAGTTGTCATCAACTGTCTTGGACTCTGAAACATTTGCGCTCTTGACCTCTTTAAAAGTTCTTGTATTGAATGGCAATGAACTTGAAACGATTCCGTTCACGACACCGTTGAATATAACAGCTCTTTGGTTGAATTGCAACAATTTAGCGAATTTAACGGCAAGCTCATTCTCCAATGTGCCATATTTAAAAACGCTTTCATTAGCTAGAAATAAAATTTCGCGTATCGACACGGATGTATTTTACTCTCTACGAATGTTAGAAAAACTGTACCTGAACGATAATGATTTAAGTTATTTGCCCCATTTGGAGCGTGAACGCACGCGAGATCTTCGATACTTGGACTTATCCAGAAATAAGTTTACAACTTTGGATGACGTGTTCGATTCTAA